CTTCCGAGTCATTATAGGTTAACAATAAATTTTAACAATTTATATGACCGGTACAAAATGTAAACAAAGTATAAAAGGAAAGATCATCACATTAGTATTAAAATCCAATTCTAAAGAATTCAACACATCCTACAATTCCAAGCTATTCATCATAAGAGAAGGGTAAAGGGATCTACTCACAAAACATCAAGATTGTAACGGAAATAATCATCATTTAACATAAAAATTAAACTAAAGATGTTCTTATAACAAGTTCAATATAAATATAAATACGATACTTAGGTCTCCTCCTCTGAAAAAAGTTGAAATGTTTTCTCATCGATTAATTCAAGAACTACCTACAATGTTGTAATGCTTCCCTTATAGATTTCTCTCCGAACACCTCACCAATCTCTCAATAAAAAGGTATAAATTTACAATCCCTACCCCTATCTATGACCTCTTGGCATTCTTAGAGAATTCCAAGACTTCAAAATGCCAAAAAATTGATTTTCCAACCTTCCGCATGTGTCAAATAACCCCCAAAGTGGTGTTGAAACTGCTCTTATAGTTGGCATTGCTTTGGCACCAAATCTGTGATGCCTAGGTGCCCAGAACCTTGCATCAAAGAACTATGGAGCAATGGCTTAACGTCCAAAAGGTGGCGCCTAGGCGTTAGTCTGCTGACAGCACCCTTTCGATCCATTTGTCTCTATTTCACTCTATTTCGGTTCCAATTCATTTCAAATGTCCTACCTGTTATACCTGTAAGATAAACATGAAAGTACATTTATTTAAAGTGTAATTTCATTCTTAAAAAAATGCTAAATATAAAAGAAATTAAGCATGTTGGAAGACACATCGGTTAATTTAAAGTAGATGTTAGTTGGATTAGGTGTAGGTTGGTTCATGTCTAGGCTAGGCCAGACCTGGGTTAGGTTTTAGTTCAGAATTTGGATTAAGTTGGGCTAAACTTGAGTTGTATCTAGTCTAGGTTGGGTCTGGGGGTTATACATGCGTTAGGTTTTAGGGTCTAGGTTAGGTTGGGCTAGGCTTAAGCTAGTTTGGGTCTAGGTTAGGTCAAATCTGGGCTGTGTCAGACTTGGGTTTGGTTTTAGGATTTTAGTTATGTTGGGCTAGACCTGAAATTGGTTGGGTTAAGGTTTTGTCAGGTTTGGGTTAGGTCGGACCTGGGTTAGGTCTTATGGTTTGGGCTAGGTTGGGCTAGACCCGAGCTAGGTTTGATCTAGGTTGGGTCAGATTTGGAAACCTGGGTTAGGTTTTAGAGTTTGGGCTAGAAGTTGGGTCAAGTCAAGGTTCGATCAGGACTGAATTGTGTTAGATCTGGGTTAGGTTGGGCTAGACCTGAACTGAGTTGGGTCTAGGTTGGGTCAGACCTGGGTTAGGTTTTAGGATTTGGGCTAGGTTGGGCTTGACCTGAGCTAGATAGGCTTTAGTGTTTAGATTATAACATTTTAAGGATTGTGATTAGGTCGTGTTTGGGTCGACCTGAGTCGAACCCAAACCCAAGCATAATCCAAGGTTATTTAGTTAACATAAACTAGATTTCTAAAATGTTGAAATTAAATTCTTAAATTAAACACTTAACTTAAAAGGAAAATGAATGGAGGAAATACTTATGAAGCAGTGGCTAAATGGAGAAGGCTTCACCACTGGATTCCTTCAGTTCCTCCAATCACATTCTCCGAGCAAGCACACATACGGAGTACACACACATTGAGCACACAAAGCCCCTCAATAGGTATAAACAACTGCCTTTTTTAGGTGGTCGCAGTTGTTATGTTCCATCAATCAGACAAAATATTGATAATCTAAATTACTTCGGTGGTTTCCATAACCATTGATGGTTGTCAGATGTTTTCAGGCATCCGATCAAATGGACGGTCTAGAGAATAAGTCGTGGACAAAGAGCATGTATCAGTGATGTATGATGAGGGCATGGCCATGCCCAAGTAGGCATGGCCTCGACTGTGGATGGTCATGCTTTAGGCCTAGCGAGATCACGCCAGGCTAGAAAGGTGGTAAGTGTGTTGCTTTTAGGGTTCAAAGGCAATGCAACCTTTCTAGAAGCTTCGTATAATAGCGGAAGCTGCATGTGACACAAAAAAATGTCAACAAAAGGTTCATTGCTTACTCTTCAATGTAAATCTACCTCAGTCAATTTTAAAGTTGCTTCTACAATTTATTACTTGGGTGAATCACTCTCCTTTCATTACTATTTAAAATAAACTTCCATGGGAGATTCTGTTTGATAAACCTGAAAAATTATGCAAATTTTAAAATTTTTTTTTAGCCCGCATATGCCCATATTTATAATGGTAATATAGAGCCAAGATCTAGAAAGTGTGTATTTCTTAGTTATAAATTAAGAGTTAAATGTTATATTTTATAAAACAGGGAAACCAAAAGAGTGATCATTTGTAGAGATGTTATATAGGATGAGTCTGTTATATATAACATCTACTACATAATATACAAACAATGATTGATATGAAAAATCTAGCAACAGGTGAAGCTTCACATTGATATAGGTATGTCCTTGAGCATAACTTCTAAGTCAAATTTAGATATTGATGATGCTGCTTTCCCACCATTATAACAACAACCATTACAATATTATGTTGCCAAGAATAGAATAAGAAGAGAAATTAAGCCGCATTAGAGGTATGAGACTGATTTGGATGCTTATGCTCTAAATGTAGCTAAAAGCATCGAGTGTGGTGAAGAACCTTTTAGTAAAAAAAGAAGTGATGAATTAAAATAATTTTAATAAGTGGATGATTCTTATCCAAAAGAAGATTGAATCCCTAACAAAAAAATAGAACCTGAGATTTGATAAAATCACCTACATAATAGAAAGTTGTTCTCAACAAATGGGTGTTTAGGAAGAAGGAAGGTACACCAAGAGTTGAAGATGTCTAATATAAGGTTAGAATTTTTACAAAAAGATTTATTCAAATTCCATGGTCAGGGTTTATAGATGTATTATCTATGGTTATCAAACATGACTCAATTTGAGTTTTACATAGTATTATGGCTAAGCATAATCTTAAACTTAAATAGTTAGATAAAAAGAATGTGTTTTTGCTTCGGGAGATTGAAGATGATATCTATATGCACTAGCCTGGGGGATTCATGGTTGTAGAAAAAGAAGATCATGTTTGTTTGTTGAATAAATTTCTTTGTTGTTTCTAATAGTCTTGGAGGCATTGGTGTTTACTATTAGTCTTATAGTCATTGGTGTTAACTACAAGTTTAAGATTATGCTTTAAAATTAAACTATGTTAATTAACTTATAGTCTTATAGTCATTGGTGTTAACTAGTCTTAGAGGCATTGGTGCTTTAGACTATGTTAATTTAAACTTTGTTGAAGATATTTATATAAGCATATATCTTACAGGATGTGTGTTTACTTTTGATGATTGTGTGATTAGCTATAAAGTTATACAATAGACAATAATGAAACAATTTATAATTGTAATACTGAAGTTTGCAAGAAGGCTCTCGAGTTGAAATATCTATTTGAAGAGCTTAGTAATTATTTGATGATAACTACATTGATGTGCGATAGTAAGTATGCTAAATATCTCAACAAAGACAATTAATTGTTTCATAAGAGAACTAAGCACATTTTTGTTCATTATCAGATCATTCTTGAAGCCATCGTTCGTGATGATATTGTTAGGAGAAAGATTAGTACCAATGATAATCTTGCGATATGAAAAGTAAAAAAATCCTAATAGCTAGGTTTGAGCAGTGCTTAGACTTGATTGGTATTTATTCTTGATCATTATAGCTTTGTGAAATAGATGAAAGTTATATTCAACACTCTTTAGAAATTTATGTCAAGGTGGAGGTTGCTAATTTTGTGTTTGGTTTTCACTGATTGAGGTTTTAGATGAAAATTGTAAACACATGGATTGAAGGTTTGGACTATTAGATCAAGTTTATAAAAGTCTTTAGATTGCAATCCTTGTGTTATTGCTTTATTGAGTCTCTTGTAATTTTTCTCTTTGAAAGGGTCTTGCTAAAACTATATATTTTACTCATCTATTTTGTGGAATGGCAACTCTCCTCTTGTAATCTCTTATTTAATATATTAAATTCTCCTCTTCTACTCGTGGATTTTCCTATTTTGGGTTTTCCATATAAAATTTGTGTATTCCTTTTTTCTATTAGATTTTTTTTACTTGTTGCATAGATTCGGTATCTCTATATATATATATATATCTGTGTGTGTGTGTGTGTGTGTGTGTGTGTGTGTGTGTGTGTGTGTGTGTGTGTGTGTGTGTGTGTGTGTGTGTGTGTGTGTGTGTGTGTGTGTGTGTGTGTGTGTGTGTGTGTGTGTGTGTGTGCTGCAAGTTGTGGCCTATTAGTTGGGGTGGTTCGTTGTAAGTCCCCTCCGGTCACGGCTTCCATCACCAGTGGAGCTGGATTCTTGAATATTTAGGCACATGGCGCAGGTTCTCATCAAGGAGCCTAGCGCATGGGCAATCGGTATTTGGGCCTCTGCCAAATACCGATTTCCTTTAGAAGAAGAATATATATATATATATATAAAATGACAATAGAGAAAGTTTGTTGGAGCGACCATTTTTCCCTCTATTATATGACAACGAATTTATTTTGTTGGAGACCACTCATTTGAAAAGAAAGGCTAGCTGATGTGGGAATCCTTGCAAAACTGGGAATTCATCAAGAAATTTGAGAATATTTAGTTTAATCCTAAATCAATTATTAAATTTATATTGATACAGAATAATAGATAATTAGTAATCATCATTAGAGTAATTCACTCTTGAATGAAAATGAACTTAGCTACTAATATATCTCGGTCAACTTTAGTCACTCTTCATCTAAGCTCTATTAACATTTTTTGCCACAATTACATCAACATTTGTTAGTTTATTCAAACTTGCACACATTAACAACAACAATTGCCTTTGAGTCATTGAGTCCTATGACTACAAAAGCCCCTTCCCTAATCTAACAATTGCAGAGAAACAGGGAACCTCAATCCTCTAAACTCATCAGCTGTGCTATTACAGCTAAGACTCATGGGTTCTTAATTGCCGGAATCTCGATGAGTGTAGGGCCCCCAGCAAATTCCATCCTTGTGCCATTGGTTGTCCCCATAGCCATGGGGAGCTCCGTCACTCCATTCTTCCCACCATTGTTGGATGAAGAGGCAAGATGATCATTGCCCTTTCCCCATATGAGGGAGTAAAGGCCTATCACTATAACTGCTGCCCCAAGAACCCTGAATTTGAGTTTGCAACCAAAAAAAAGAAAAAAATTGAAGAATATGTGACAAAATGTCTCAATGGCATGTCCAGAAAAAATAATATTGGTTAATCTCACATTCGCTAGCCTATGCTCGATGCTTATGCAAAGTATAATGCATACCTTCCAAGAGGTATTTCCTCTACTAAAATGATGGATCCCATAAGAGCAGTTATGATCATGCAAAGAGGATTGAAGGCAGTGACGAAAACAGGACCTCTCTCTTGCATAACAATCCCTTGTACATAATAAGCTACACCGGAGCAAACTATACCCTACAAGCCAAGAAATGAATTATTGCCATTTGTTAGCAAAAATGCCTCATTATAATTACTAATATTTGTTAAGGTAAAAAAATTACAGAGTAGACTGCTGTGAAGAGCCTCATGTCAAGACCAATGATCCATGGCTTAGCGCTACCACGCTCCACCACCAATGCCACCGTTGCGCTGAGCAAGGCGCCAATGGCGCATATCAAAATTGTCAGTGTCAGCTTTGCAGGGTATGATTCCAACGTGTTGGACTGCAAAAATATAGATATAAAATTATACATATATATACTTTAGTTCCAACTATAGAAATGATATGATATTCTCCAAATGTTAAATAAAACCAGTTATACGGAAACATGTTTGATTACCTGAACGATGAAGAACAAAGACCAGCTGATGCAGCTGACGAACAACATGGAGGTACCTTTAAGCCAGTTCGTGGTTCCGGCTTGGGTACCGGCAGCAGCGACATTAATGTGGTGGGCTCGTCCCTTGGTCCAGAAAAAATGAACGATGGGGCCCTTGTATAGTATCATTAAAATGGCCCCAACAACCGTTATTGCTGTTCCAATTACTTTTGCTTGGCTACGTCTTCGTCTAATATTTATCTTCTCCATTCTAATTCGGGAACAATTATGATGATCAAGAAATAAAAAATCAGAACACAGCTACTATATATTGAGCTAATTAAGCTTTTATTTGAGTAATATGGTGGGGATAAGCTGAAGATCTCCAATCAGAAGGAAATATTTGACACAATTGCACATAAATAAACCCCAAAGGAAGGATATGTAAGGAATTCTTTTATGAGTTGTTTAGTCTATTATCTTAAAGAGAAAAGTCTACTTAATTGGTTTCTACTTTTAGCCACCGACAAACTCAATCTTTAGTATTTTTTTTTTTTTTTTTTTACTTAAATGGTTTCTACGTTTAGCCACCGACAAACTCAATCTCTAGTTTTTTCTTTTTTTTTGTTTTTCTTTCTCTTTGTTTTTGAACAATTATACTTTTATGGAACCAATAATCAAAATTCGGCCAAAAAAAATAGTGGTAAAATTTATTTTTAATCCATGGAAATAAGAGGGGATCGTTTAATATTTGAGAAATTTACATACATACCATACAATTGTTATGTATTTACAAATCTAACTCTCAAAGTTTGATATATCCACTTAAAAAATATTATTGTCGTACGTTTATGCATGGAAATAAATATTTCACTTTTGAAAAAAAATATTTATAATGATATTTTTGATGCGATGTTAAAAAATTGAATGGTACGACTGTGAATATGAATATTTTGATGTTACATATATAAATACATAGGAATTATAAGAATTATGTGACATCTATGAAGTCCCCTTAAAATTTTTATTTCATTGTATGTTTTAACTTTCAATATATATATATGTGTGTGTGTGTGTGTGTGTGTGTGTGAACCTCATAATTGAGTTTGTAAATCTCCTAATAATTAATGATGCCAACATAATTAAGTGAAAGTTTTACCTTAGAATAATGGCCAATGTGAAAGTAATTGCTGGTAATATGTTGTAAAACGCAGCAGAAAAGCTTGCGTTCGTCAACTTAGCTCCCATGTAATAAAAATTCTGATCTAACACAGGCCTGAAAAAGCGATAAACAGAGCATTGATTTTTAAAGATCAATTTATGATGCTACGTACGACTAAGAAGTGATTTTGATAAATGAAGGGAAAAATAGAGGGATAATTGCGTACTCAAGGACCGCGAGGGCAACAATCTTGAGGAAGATGAGGGGAGTGATCTTTGGCCTTTTCTCCCTGTCAAATAAATATACCAAATTAAAGGAAAAGTTTTAAGCTAAAGATGCCTTGAATTCAAAATTATATATATATGGTCTTGTTTATCATTAAATTCACTCAAAATTATAATAAAACTTATCTTTGAATTCAAGTATCAACTGATTAGTAGAATCTTTTTTCTTAAAAGAAGGAAAATATTTACATACATACAAGATAATGTTTTATTTAAATATCGACAAATTTAGCTTTTGATTTTGTACTTTTATAACATCATTCATATCTACCAAAACTATTACTATTTTAATTTCTTAAAAATTAAAATACGTTCTATCATGCATAAGATAAAATGGTATAGAAGCAAAAAGTCAATATTTAGATGATAAAAGGATCTAAATTCCTAAGAATTATTTGTTATGTAAATAAAATTTTATAAGAAAGAAGTTGTTTTTAGAAAATCCTTAATAAAATTTACTTGGTGATATTCTAAGCATGATTTTTCCTAGTTGTTAAACAACACTAGATTCTTGTATTTAAGTCAACATCAAAAACTAAAAAATTCTGTTATTTGAAAAAAAAAAAAACTGAAAAATCATGTATCCTGAAAAATCATGTATCCTCGTATCCTCGTATAAATATAATTGTCTGCAGGTATTCACAATCATAGAGTTTCGCTTTTGGACTGAATTCAAACTTCTAGAATTCATATGATAACTAATATGTACCTACCAACTTTAACACTATTTAATCACACTCCATATCTAACAACATACCTATTAATTAAAACACTTCCGCAATTTTGTTTCATTAATCAATAACCATAAAAAACTCAAGTATAGACATAGTACGTATTAGGAGGGAAATTAACCTCTCAAACCATAGTGCGAACGGGGCAATGATTGCGGCAGCCACAACGTTACGATACACAACCAGAACATAATGGTTCATGCCGTTCTTGAGTGTTGCCGCAGAGATTACGTACATCCCTGCATAACCAAACTGCAGCAACACAATATAGACATATGGCTTCAGCTTCTGAAACAGTTTCGCACTGCTATCGCTTGTCATCGTTGTCTTCAGATTGTAGGGTGAGCACCAGCTTCATGCCCTTTATATAATCGAAGTAAAAGCTTATTTTGACGCTGGGTCGATAGTAGTACTTGTTCGTGGAGTGAACTTCCACGTCCAGATTCCATTATCGTTGTAGAAAGATGCAGAGAGAAGGGTGCAATGATCAAATTTCTCTTACTGGCTTTTGGGTTTAATATTGTCTAGTGCGTGCATTATAGCTGCTTATTTTAGCGGTTTTAGTGCTTGCTGATGGTGTTGGGGGTTGGTGCGTTCGTGTTAGGATGGCATTCCTCTTGACTAATGGATAGAATTTCGATGAGAAAATTTTTATTGGTGAGTGTTAATTAGCTTAATTGATTAATGTTATGAAAAGTGTTATTAAGATGTAATGTTAAGACTGAAATCTGTTAACAATGAATTATGGCTTCACACTAATAATTCCAATAAGAAAATAGAATAGAAATATTTTAAGGAATGACTTTTTTTATGCTTGGATTTTAGGATTTGAATCATCTTGATTAGTTATCTTGTAAATTGACCTTTGGTTGTTTCATTGGATGGTTGGAATCAACACAATTTATTTTCCATAAAAAAATATTTGAATGAGATGAATAGGATTAGTTTTGAAAAACTTAGTTCTGACCATTCAAGCTAGATTGCAGGGATGTGAATTTTAACTACATAAAATGAAATTGATCATAATAAAATTTTTGCATCCATGGATATCATTTGATGATAAAGGATTGTTATTGGATATCATAAATATCAGTGTGAATCCATTGGTTGTGATGCATTTCTAATGCAATTCTATTTAATAAATTTCTTATAAAGCTCCCACCCCCTCAAAATATGAGGATATTTCTAATTGGAGAAAACTGTAATTGGAACAAGGAGATGGAAGTAGAGGGAAATTAAACATTATATTGCTAAAAGTTGTTTTGTTTACTTCATCCTACAATCACTACACAAGAGTATAGTGTATATTTGTAGTATTATTACATCCTTCTTGAGTGGAATGTTGTTTGAAATATATGGGAAGATGAATCTTCAGTTACATATGGAGCATACAAATCATTAAATCTTTCTATGTGATCTTATAACTATGTCCTGCTATAGGTTAGTTTTAGACAGTGATATCATCATTATCTTTGCTCAAGTTCAGTGCCCGTGGTTGAGCAATGAGTTTGGAACAATGTTATAAAAACTTAAAGGTAGACAATACTTTTGTTAAGATGTACAAGGAGAGGTCATGAGTGTGAAGACACTAAAAGAAATTTACATTTTTTTATATGGTCACACAAATGAAGTGCTAATCGAGATAATTAGGATTAATGGCCAATGTCTTCGTTGAGATGTTGTTTCAATATAGGTTGGTTGGTTGAGTGATAGGAACATGGACGTCTTTAAGTAGTTGTCTTTACAAAAAAAATGTCCCTCATTGTGGCAACTTTATTATGGTACTTTGATTTTGTGGAAGATTTTGATATTGTGAATTGCTTTTTGTTTGTCCATTAAATAAAGTTGGGATCGACGTTGGAATAGAAGCTGGTGGTCGATTTATGATTGGTGGGATCTTCAACTCTGTTGGAGTTAGAATATGTGACGAGGCTATCGTAAGGTCTTCAAGTTGTTTTGGGATGCTAATATGAGTTGTTCCTTGGATGCAATGTAAGTGGATTAGAAGAGTTGAAAGTGAGATTACTCTGGGCTATGCATGGATTAACAAATTTGATTGCACTATGAAAGTAATATCTGTATGTTGATGGTTAATTATCACTTTGTGAAAGTCACATATTAACTAATAAAAACCCGTCTGTGATACAAATTTTTTAGTCAATAAAATGCTTGCCGACTGATTTATAATTACATTTTTTCAGTCATTAAAATCATTGCCACAAGTGCTTTAATGAGTGAATATTTAGTCGCTATATTTACCAACTGATTAGTGACCAAATTTTGGTCAAATAGAGTATCAAAATTGTGACCAACTTTTTGGTCAAAAAAGTACTGACCGAACTTACAGTTTAACACAAATTCAGCAACCGAGAAGGGACAAAAAATTCTCCTAGTTAGCAACCAATATTTTTGTCACTAAATTTAAATAAAAGAAAGTTTGGTTTCAATGAAATTTTGCACACATGCATTAACTAAATAAAACAATGACTCAAATTTCATAAAATGTCACAACAACTTAATAAAATTTAGTACATATAATAAAATCAAATGAAAATATAGTATAAACATAATATATATATATAGATCATCCAATAATAATCCAGTTCAACATATTTCACAACATTAATATATTGTTTCTACAAATTCTTGAAAAAAAAGAAAAACTAATCATGCATGTTCACATCATCCTCCTCCTCAGTCATAGGTCGCTTGCTATGAGGACCTGTAAGCCACTCATCAGTATTATAGAGCCTCTATAATCCCTGGTTTCCATAAACATCTTCAACTTGGACTCCAACTTTCGTTTAGAACATTGTTACCCCACAGCTCCACTGTTAATGCAACCACATGTCTAGAGACTTCACCTTGATATAATGACGATTTATGGACGGAATCTGAGCGTTGTACCACATATTCAAATCCATGTGCTTGGAGTCTGTAGATTATCCTCTTCTTCCACTAGAACCTTCCTTCTAGATTTCAGAGTCAGAATGGCCATAATGATTGATCCACCTTAAAATTTCCTATTTTAAATATACATTTAATGCTCATTTTATGTAAATTTTTAATGATATTGCACTTCAATGGAATGTATTTTGTAAGTTTTTAATTGTGTAAGAAATGTAGTTTTAGTAAAAATAGAGCAAAAACAATGTAATTTGGAGTCAAATCGAGCAAAGAAGAATATTCTGGTCTAGCACATTTTGATGTCTTTCAATGCTTAATCTCCCTTACATATGTCACATGTTTTTGAATGAAATTGCAATTTAAAGAAAGATTTTTTTCGTGTTTATCTTGTAGGTATAACACTGGAGCGGATTGGAGGTAAAACGAGGCAAAACAGAGCAAAATGAAGCTAAATTGGGGTGTTGTCAGCAAGGGTGGCATTGTAGCACCCAAACTGGTTCTATAGTGCCAATCAAAACTAGGAACAGGCACCATTGTACCAATTATAGTGTCATAGAGCCCAAGAATATTTTTGGACAACTTATGGGCCATTCTGGGCTATTTCGGGATGTTCTAGAAGCTTCTGGGTAGCTATGAACGACCCAAGGTGATATTCAATAAATCTAGACACTTGGAAAAGCTTTTTGATGAAGTGATGTGTCTCTTGGAGTGGAGATTTGTGTCTCTTAGAGTGAAGAGGTGTGCCTCTTATAATGAAGAGGTGTATTGTGCCTATTTGAAAAGAGGGGCTTGACGCCTCTCATGAAGAGAAGGAGAGGAAGTTTTTTGCGTGAGCTGTAAGTGTGGAATCTATTGGTGTGTGTGTGTGTGTGTTTGTTTATAAGGAGATATTGGTGAGAGATTTTGAGAGATATTTGAAAGGAATTGTATGAACTTTGCATAGATCAGTAGGAGACTTTGTTGAAGGTATTTTTATCTTTATTTCATGGAAAAAATCTAAGTATTGTGTTATTCATTATCTTATAATTATTATAAACACTTTTCTACTAAATTTGTTTTGATTTAAATGAAGTTTTCTGTTGTGCTTTCTCCATGCTTAGTGAGTAGTTTTCATTACTCTTTCTCCATGTTTAATGATTAGATTTCATTACTCTTTCTCCTTGTGATGAAATGTAATCATGTGTGGGATGAGAATAATTTGAAGGTTTCTTTTTATTTTAAGAAATTGTGATGATATTTTTACTGATTCTTTATTAGCTTTGCAAACTGATCACTTGTGAGGTAAAATCTATTGAAAAACATAATGTCCTAACAGAGATATCATTTCACCAACTAATAAGTACCACACTTAACTTTGGAAAGAGCCATTGAGATCTTCTGAGGGAAAGTGCAAATAGATAGAGAGACAAGTTTTGATGGACATTGAATTGATGTTTCTAAGGTGACAGACTAGATTCTTTTTTCAATTTGGTTTGGAGTTTGGATCGAAGGGTTGCAGTAAGTCATATTGAGAAAACACAATGGGCAATCTAAAAACGAGGGGCTAGAATCTACTGAGCACTACTACATAAGTTGGAACATACTTTAGGTTAGTTGATGTTCTTTGCATGCACCAAGTGGGGATAAGGAATATGTATGCTCCGATTTATCACAATACCACATTTTAACCTTTAAATATGCTATTTCTATACTAATTATGATCTCATCGCAAAGGGTTAAAGGATTTTAATTATTTAAGATATTTCCAATATTGAACTAGTCTACATGGATTTGGTTTTTATTTAATTTAACTAATTATAATTTTAGTGTAAATTAGTAAATTTAGGAAAACAAAACTTTTCAAAAATTCTAAACTAAAACCTGATAGTAGTAGACTAGAATTAGTCTCAGTGATTTCTTATCTTGCTTCTCTATGGGATTGATGCTGGGGACTTTAAAGAAAGCCTTATATTACTTGAAATGATATGTATACTTGTCTAGTACCCCCTAGTTCGTAAATTATTTTCTGAATTTTATAATATTTTGATTTTGTACACTAGCCACAAAAAATAAATTGTGTCAATTTTTGTTCATCTATTGGAAGCTAAATTACTGCTTAATTACGGGTCGGGTCAAGTTTTTGACACCGTTGCTGGGTACTTGATCTGAATTAGTGTATAGCATTAGAGTCGTATCAAGATTTTGTTGCCCTTACTGAGGAAGCTACAGTAAGAACTTTAAGAGAATTTTAGTTGAATCTGTAAGACATAGATTTAGAAAAGATAATATTATTATATAATGTGTTTAACTATTATGTGTTTATTTTCAAGAAAAATCTAAAATACAAAAAAATATTTTTGATATTTATCCTATTAGTCACGTCTTTAGATTTATGTGTAGTTCATGAGCTACAAAACTTGGATTATACGACTCGGATCTAGAGAGAATGTTTAGGAGGATTATGAATTAAAA